AGCAGGAATAAAAATATAGTCAGCAGTGTTTTATATGATCACTGTTCCTATATTTTTCCACTCAGTTCTGTGTCTGCAAAAAAGTGGCCTGGCCTTCTAAGATGTGTTACCTTTCCTGTTTGATATTTAGCTTCTTTAAAAAAAAGATAAATTAAAATATTTGAACTCTCTATAGAAGAAACAGAGAAGGAAAAAGTACATTAGAGAGGTGAGTGAATTGCTAATACAGAAGGTCCCATTTAATTCTGAACAAATGGACATCCAAGATACATGTAAAGTGAATTGCTAGGTTGAGTTGGGAAGAAAATTTCCCAATAGAAATGTCATTGCACAGTTATTATTTCTGAGATGACAGCACCTGATACCAGCCATTGCTTGCCCAAGGGGGACTATTTATCTTGAACCCAGCTAAGTAATAATTTTAGTTATGTTTAAATCAGTCTCTCTAAAACACCAATTTTTAAATTTTTTTTTTTCCATTTTACTTCAGCTTCACTGCATTTCAGAGCTAACTGAAGTACAAGGAATGGAATTTAATTTCTTCTGCCTTCCTTGTTCATTGGCAGGTCATAGCTGGACCTAGTGGGAAGGGTCCACACAAGGGCTGCTGCATCAATCACAGCTTACATTACAGGCCTGAAAAAGTAAAATAATAAAAGAGAATCTCTCTTTCTAGTTAACTGCCATCAGATTAGGCTACAATCATATAAAAGCAGAAAGTGTCCTAATGTCAGGGTGAATTCCTGAGCTAATGTAAGCAACTGTTATTTCTCTCCTGCTCATGAGACCTAAAGCTCAAGATCCTAGCTGATGTCTAGCCGATATAGCGGTGTTGGTCATAGGCTGGACTTGATCTTAAAGGTCTTTTCCAGCCTTGGTAATTCTGTGATTCTGTGATCCCAGCCCAGTGACTGCAAACACCCAGGACTTTGTGCTGCTGAGTCAGAAACTGATAGCATGACCACAAACAGACTTCAGCTGAGACTGGTTTCCAGTAAATATGTCCCAGCAGACAAATCTCATCATGTTTGGGAAAATAAGCAGTTTTGAGTAACATGTAAAACCAAACACATATGCCTGTTTCTAAAGGTATATATTAGCTTACCTTCCATATACCCTTATGTCTGAAATTGCATAAAAGTAGCGTGCCAGATGTTGCTCATCTACATATATTTCTCCAGTTGCTGGCCTAAGTAGTCTTATCCTCAGGTCTGTGATGGTAAAGAAATCTCTTAGCTTCTTGGTTGTGTCAAGCTGGCCATAGAGAGAAGCCATGTTATGAAGCCGAGGTCCAGCAAAAAAAGCAAATCTATCTTTGATTTCAAAGTGGATTATTTTACTATTTGTCATGTACCCAGTAGAGTATTCCTCTGTGCAAATGATTTCTAGGACTGTGTGCTGCGATAAATCCCTCACTGATTTTGGATCCATGTGGAAAGCATCTAAGCAGTCTGTGGCATAGTATTGGTAGGGCTGCCATGTTCGTCCATAGTCGAGTGATTTCTCCAGGATCATTTGGTCTGGACGGCCAGATTCAAAAGTGATAACTATGTTATCTGTCAGCTCAATAGTTTTGTTCCAGGAGAGTGTAATATTAACATGAAGAGGCTTTGGGTAATCCTTCCAAGTTGTAGACTGCCAAAATGTGGAGGGATGCCTTCCTTCAAGATCAAACATCAGTTCTGGAGGATGAGCCAGTTCTTGGGTACTTGCATCACATTCATTATTGCACATGTAGGGATTCCCCTGGAAAAAAAGCAAAGCAGTGTTACAAGAGGCATGGCATAGATGACTTTGACAAAGAAAGATGTTTTTGTTTGGCACATGAGAACTGCTGCTTTTTCTGCAAGAGAAAAGAAAAGATTAAAGAAAAAACAAGCGCTTGCAAGGAATACCTTTGTCTTGAGGAGATTTATCCTGACCCTTGCACCTGTTAATGTATAAACACATGCATATACTTCACCCTTGCTTCTGTAACATAAACATTTTTCTTCATATGTTTCAGAGAAAGAAACAAATTTGTTTACTCTGAATGACTCAGACCAGTGATCAAGTCACAAAAGACTCAGAACAGTATGCAAATCGCTAATAGCTCAGTAATTCCTAGAAAGATTAAGCAGACAAAGGGAATTTATTTTTAAAACAAGCATGTTCCTCCAAAGCTCCATAAACTGAAGTAGTAATTTTTAGGGCAAGTGTTCTGAGGACAACAGTGCAGCCCATATGTACTTGAACCAGTACCCATATGTACATGAATATATGAACCAGTACCCAGTACACCTTCAAGGTTTCTTTCACCTGGGCAAGAAATTTATTATGCTTAACTGTGCTCCCAGCATAGCACCAGTTTGCCTTAAAACATTCACACTTGCTATCAAAAAAACATTAGAAAAACACTGCTCTGCCAGCTCTGGGGTTTGATTCAGACATCTGCCATCTTATTACAGGGTAGCAAAGTACTTCAGGAGAGACTTTTCATGAAGCACCGGCTCAAATTTATCAGGACAAGATAATCCAGCACTTGATTAGGTGGGAGATGTCAGCTGCTCCTGCTGTAACACTGCCAAGATGGCCAGAGGTCTGAACCGGGGCTTGAGTTAAAAACAGCAACAAAAAAATCTTGCCAATACTACGCAGTTTTTGCTGCTGCTTGTCCTCTGTAGCTAGGTGAAAGTGAATTAATTCTCTTCCTGGCCTTTTGATGCATTAACTTGCACACTACAATCTTCTTCACAAAGGCTATTTTGTCTGCAGATTGAGGATATTTTGCAGCAGTTGCCAAGATATCAGACCCCATAGGCTGCACTGAATCACCTGTCTCATTTCAGCTTTCAACAGTACAGGAGTATTTTGCTACTTGTTCATGCTGTTTGTTCCAGGGCACAACCACTGCCCTGTATCCTTCCTGCCACCTTACATACGGATTGTAGAACAACCATGCCCCTTTACACTGATGGTTGGTACTGCTGGAGGAAAAGATGCACGTGCCTGTGCCTTGCAGGGCTCGATAGGGGCATCACTGTAGCTGCTATTGACATTAATCAGAGTTCCCCTCACCTATCTTGGAAACAGAACAAGCTCTGGTATGATAATCAGCCTTTTACATATATATATATATAAATATATATATATATATGTATAATTACAGTTAGGCTTCTTTCCATCGGAAAGGCTCAGGGCAATGAAGCCACTCAGTGCCATCCAGTGTGGGAAATGGGTTTCAAACGTGTTTCCACCTTGGTCACTGCCCTGCTCCTGTCATACTCCCAGAAAACACAAGCAGAACAGGGCACAACCACTGCCCTGTATCCTTCCTGCCACCTTACATACGGATTGTAGAACAACCATGCCCCTTTACACTGATGGTTGGTACTGCTGGAGGAAAAGATGCACGTGCCTGTGCCTTGCAGGGCTCGATAGGGGCATCACTGTAGCTGCTATTGACATTAATCAGAGTTCCCCTCACCTATCTTGGAAACAGAACAAGCTCTGGTATGATAATCAGCCTTTTACATATATATATATATAAATATATATATATATGTATAATTACAGTTAGGCTTCTTTCCATCGGAAAGGCTCAGGGCAATGAAGCCACTCAGTGCCATCCAGTGTGGGAAATGGGTTTCAAACGTGTTTCCACCTTGGTCACTGCCCTGCTCCTGTCATACTCCCAGAAAACACAAGCAGAAGGACTTTTGCAGTCATTTTGACCTGCCCATGGGCAACTTCCTCTTACCTGGACAGGGAAATATTATTTTCTTTCTCTCTCTTTCCCATTAGTACAGCTGAATGCTAAAACTGAAAATGATTCACTGGGACTTGAAGTTAGGAAAAAACTACAAGACAACAAAAAGAGTTTTTTGAAAAGCAGCACGCTGCTTGTTACACTGACAGCATCAAAGCGTGCAACTGTAACTGAAAATACTTGGTAAAATGCATCTATAATCAGTGCCTGTTACAGCTCTGATTTCAAGCTTATGGTTGCTATTTCTATGCCTTCCTTTTGAATAAAACAGTGAAAAATCAAAATACATTTTAAGCAGAATAAAGAAAAGAACAATTTTGTTATTATTTAAGCTCCATTTAATACATCAGACACAATCGTCAGGATTTGCTAACTTACTTAGGCCTTTTCTTTTCCTTAGGGAAAAAATATATATAGTGAAACCTGTAAGGTCACAGACCTTTTGACTATATGTAAAGATCAGTTTTGCAGAAAATGCTCAGTGTTATGCAAATCATGATTCTGAAGTTTACTAGAAAAATCTGGCCACTTCTGTGCCTGTCACCATGAAGCTACCTGTATGCCTAAAATGTATAGGTTTGTGTCATCCCTTTGGCAAAAACAACTTCACTGGGAGGTCATGGGTATCAAAACACAGCAAATAAATGCTCCTGGGTAGCCAGACAGGTGCATTAAGCACTGCTGAAGGATGGCTTTCGTTTCCTGCTCCACAGCAACCACTGAGTCTGTTGTAATTCCTCATGTTAAAAACTAAAGCCTCTTTGATCCACTAGGCCCTGGATGCTGGAGGAAGCATGTTTTATGATTTTGGCAGGTAACTCAAAAAGCTGGAGTGCCAATATAATCAGAGTACATTGGGAGATAGTGCTCTTACAAAACATAAGCTAGTGTCAACACACTATGATCATGAGAGCTCATAGCACTAAGGTGCCTACAGTGGTAAAAATCAGCCCTAGCTTGTAGTCCACATCTCTGAGGGCACAAAGGTTTTTGGGAAAGATGAAGCTACTCCAATTAATGGCAGATTATAGCAAGAAATGGGTCAGAATCACAGTGCTGTACTGCACCTGAAACTCTTACCAGCAGTAACATCAGGGGCACAACCCACCACTGAAACCTTGGAGTAAGGAGATCACTGCAAATAAGAATTGTAATAAAAAGCTTCAGGCATATAGCCCCTAATAAACGAAATTATTATTTTAACTTTATAGCAATTGTCTTTTAAGAGGAGAATATTTTGATGACATCAAAATAACCTGTGTGGAGTTCAATATTCTAGAAAGGAAATAAGGAGAAAAAAAATCTAAGCCAATATAAGACAATAAAATAAATGTCCTGGATTCCAATACAGGAGAGGGAGAGAAATGATCAGTTTAGGTAAGTTCCCCTCTGCCTACTGACATGGCAGTCACTGATGTAATTTTGAAATGGTTAACACGATTATTGCTTCAGAGACTTGGAGTCAGATTCCCATATTCGCTATCAGCAACTTGGCTTAAACTGCTTCTAATGAATCTTAAATGTAATTTGGATATTACATCTTACTTACATTACCAAAATAGTGTAAAGGGGTCTTGCCCCACATGAACATCCTTTAATACACATTAGTATGAAAACAATTAATTTAAGTGGGATTAGTTACGTATTTTTATGTCTTGATCTCTGTGATAATCCTCTTTAAGACCTCTATCTAAATAAAATTATTACAACAAAGAGAATCTTTCACCAGTTTGTGAAAATTAGGCCCGTTCTGTGTTGGGGACTTCGAAAGGACTGAAGCATTAGCAGCTGTAAGTAATTTTGTATCAGCAGGCAGCCATAAATAGATCTTCATTTAAGCCTTCAAAGCAGCAGCTCTTCAGCTGGATGTGGAAAATACTTACATCTTTTCAAAATGATATTTAAGCCATTATGAGATTTCTAAATAATTAAACACTAATAATTACTTCTAAACACTTTACTGCCAATTAGTGTAAAAGGTAGCTGAAGGCTTTCCCAACACCACAACCATCTAAGAGAAACCCACTCTTTTCCTGTACAGTAATTGAAGATTGATATTAAATAGCTCCTTGCAGGCAGGCAAATAAAGTTGCTATTTATTTTGTTTTATGCTGCTCATAGATTTCAAAATATTACCAAAACTACTGACATAGTCTAAAAGTTTTGGCTTTGGGAAGAGGTACCTGTTTAAACAGGCATGGTGAGGGAAGGTGGCTGTATCACAGGGTTTGAGCACACTCAGGCCCAGCTGGAAAACACAGAGTTACTTGAGCTAACCAGGGCTGAGTGGTCCCAGTGGGGTTTCTCCTCAATTAGCTAGATTTTGTTTGTTTTAGTGCACAGTGATGTCTGTCCGTGCCAGGAAGCCTGAACTTTTACAGTGGTGTCTGAGGTGCTCTGCAAGTGTCCCTGCCCGGGACGGAGCGCAGGGGCTGGCCTTGCTCCCGCTGGGCAGCAGCTTGTCATACCAAGTGCACCTTCAGGAACCGCACAGTGACAGGTGACAATGACCCCAGAGTGAGGATTCTGGTTACAAACAGAGGTCTAGCCGTAGTATGACCTTTGACCATCAGCAGGGGAGCTGGCATCAGTGCTGGAGCTGCCATTTGAAAGTTATAAAGTCCCAGCACTGCTGCTCAAGCGAAGCCTCTGTCTCTCAGCAGGATGCCTCCTCAGAGGCAGCCACACAGGCTTAGGGCTTGATTGAAGATGTTGCTTCTTTCAGGCTGCTTCCTGTCCACACTAACGCCTCATGGACTTTTTTAGTGAGGAACAAAGACAGGGGGGCTTAACCTTTCTGCAGCGTGAATATTGGAAGCTGTATCACAGATTACGTGCTGTAATAGGCACCTGGCTAAATCCCTACAGAGGATTATAACTTGCATTTTCAAACGATGAAGGCTGCTGAGGTCAATCAGGCCAAGATTTTACGAAGGAGCAAAATAAATTCTCAAGAAGTGAGTCACAACAACACATTTTTATACTGCTGCCTCAAGGT